GCAACTGAACTTCTAACACAGCGTTTTCATCTAAACATTTAGGAAAAACGCAAAATATAGTTACGTATTTTGGGACGTGTAGCAAAGTACATAAACAGTATGACTTTTTAAGCATGCTCATCCTATTTTTATGGTTAAATTATCCATGTATTAAAATTCAGATTTTTGAAACCTTTAAATACGATTAAAGATCGTTTTTCGAATGATTAAAATTTTTGTACCACTTAAAGATGATTCTGTGGTAATACAAACTTCAATTTTTTAAACAAAAACGTCCTTTTATATTATKTTTTATTAAGCAGAACAAAATTCAAAATAATAGTTATGTAATTTTGTGTTTTATGAATAATATGTTTATGGTAATGGATTAGGTAGATAAGGGGCTTAGATGATTTGAAAAAGTTAGYAAATACGATTGATTTATCATATAGATAGTTTGTAAAAATGATCCAAGTATAATAAATACTACGTCTAACATTACAATATATAGCAGGGGTGGTCACAACGAGGCTCGCGAGCCCCATGCGGCTCCCGATGGAGTCTCGTGTGGMTCCTGACACCAAGGTTAGAGTAAAWTTAATTCATATAAYATAAAAGAGCACATTTCAAAAGTAAAATCTAATTTCTTAATGTGTACTTACCTGAACAATAATACTCTGTGTAGTGTAAAAAATGAATGTTCCTGTATTTGTTATAAAATTCAAAATGTGTTTTCATTTTTTAAATATAYCTATACCTATCTTAAGAATTTGGCTCAYTTCGAAATAGCTTCGTAAATTTTCGGCTCYCAAAGTTAAAGTTAGTGGCCACCCCTGATGTATAGTTTTGATTTGTATAAAACCRTTTTTAAGGATTATTATCCTTAATTTAAACATTTTATTAACTCAGAAACTACTCATTAGAATTTAGATACATACTAATTTTCAAAAAAATTATCCGCAAATAATTTTCAGTTAGGTTTCTCATTTGAAAAATAGAAGTTGTTATATCCACAAGATACTCGTACTCCTTAAATAATACAAAAAATATCAGAAATTTCAAAATATGGTTATTAAGTCTACTTAAAAATTATAAGAATCAGAATTCGAATAAATGTAYTATTAAAGGAAAAATGGGGATGAGGAAGCTTKAAAAATCACCCTGTATACATATCGCATGTACAAAATATTTTRTTGTATTATATACCACTTAGTACTTATTTACATTCAAAATTGATAAGATCGGGTAACTCATGTCCAAGATCGACGGACGTAATTTGATCATAATTTATTTACATTGACAAATCGCGTCAGATTTCATGTTCTTTCTTTCTTTTCATATAATCWCCTCAAGGCTGGGTGGTACCCTAACGAGTTAATGCGTTAAAGTTAAGTTGATTTTAATTTATAAACGCGTAACGCACTAACGTAAATAGTAACAAATCTAAATAGAAACAGTAAAACGAAACAAAAAACGAGACTTTGTCAACAATTTAACRTAAAATTRAAATTGTTTGTATACAATAATAATTTATTATATTGTACAAACATTAATAAATCACTTTATTTATAATTTTACGTTTGGTAAAAGAGTTTTGGTTTATGATACAAAATCCTTCAAAACCATATAAATKAATAATATGTATTTTATATTCAGAGCAGCGGAGCGACGAATGTATTGGTTTTACAATGATGTATTGATGTGGCAGTTTGTTTTCGTTAATTTATGTTGTTTTTTTTTTTGGGGGGGGAAGGGGCAGTAAATTATGCTTTGATTTTCAACTTTAAGTGTAGGAAATTGAATCTAGTTAGAACATTTTTTCTTSATTAAAAAAGCTTGAAGATTTAATACACGAATTCCTCATAAATTGTATTAATGTATTAATGGTATAAAAAAATAAAAATATAGTTTGAGTGGTTTTTTAATTTAAGATTGGCGCTTTGAGTTCAGATTGTAGTAAATATTGGTTTCGAGTGTTGGTTCACATCGATATACGTCCTACTAAATAGCGAATCAACTTTCTCGGGTTTTACTGATAGACTTATTTAAATACTAAAAAATATTAAATTTGTTTCGGTCTCGTTCTCAAATTGTTGTTTCGGTACTATAGTACTATGGTACCGAAATGATCGTGGAACATACGTCTGCAGCGCATTGTAAAAAATAATATTAATGTTTGTCGTTTCGTCGCGGGCAGACGAAGAAGAACGGTGCAGGCTGTTCTGTCGCGTAGCCGCGTCCACCGCTTACTATCAGCTAAAGGAGAAGGTGGTGGACGGTACGCCGTGCGCCCCGGACAAGTACGACATATGCGTCAACGGGATGTGTGAAAAGGCGGGCTGCGACCACGCTCTGGGCTCGGACAGTCAGCTGGACATGTGCGGCGTTTGCGGCGGCAACAACTCCAGCTGCCAACAGGTGGCCGGCACGCACAACAGCAGCTCGCCGAACGGTTACTCGAAGGTGTTGCGCATCCCGGCCGGGTCGTCCAACTTGGACATACGGCAACACGGCCACAACGGGTCCAGCAAAGATGACAATTACTTGGCGCTGGTGGACAGCGCGACCGGCGAGTACGTGCTCAACGGCAACTACGTGCTGAGCACGTTCAACAAGGTGATCGTGTACGGCGGCACGACAATCGAGTACAGCGGGTCGGACGCGCCCGTCGAGCGCATCAACTCGTCCAGGCCGCTCAACAAAGACGTCACCGTCGAGGTACATTCATTTGTCCATTATATCAGCACGGTCGTAATAAGTTATGACCAAAAAATTATAATGATAATATTAAGTGGGGTTAGGGACACCAAACTGATTTCWAAAAATAAATCGTTTTTGAATTCCTATATTTTGTATTGTGATGAAATAAGATGACCTGTTTTCATTGATGGATTAAATGGTATAAGTGGTTATTAATTATTATGTAGTTTAATATGCTTCGAGTAGGATTGCATCCTACCCTTCTGGTACAAGGAATATACACAGTGTAAGCGTTTTGGTATACCAACTGCAAGATTCAGCTAATCGTTGAGCTAAATAATTTGTTTTTCGCAATCACGGTTCACGGTATATCATGGCGGAGTGATAACCTTTATTTAAACGGCGATCGCCTGATTTCGACCSAAAGTGACACTTTTTCATTTTTCGTAACCTTATTGCACGAATTATGTAATTTTAACCGCCATCATAGGTTAATAGAAATTTTGATTTGTATCAAATTAAAGATAATAGTTTAATGTTATGCACTTATCTACTAACACAACTGGTATACATATGTGATAMCTGGGATTATTGTAATTTCTTTTAAATCTTTTATAAGGCATTATATAAGAGGCAAGTGTTCAATATCAAATAATCTACCATTTTGATAGTTTTATACGATATTAGTTATTCACTTTTTGTAGTCGATCATTGAAAAAATACTAAATACTAGTTATTTGTAAGAAAATATGATATATGTATTTATAGTATTGTTATGAGTATTCAGGTTTAGGACATTAAAATATGTCATTGATTTTAATTTATTTAATTTAAATGCAACATTTTGATAACAGAAACCGCCGATAAATGCGTGGTGCAATTTACGTATCTTTATTTTAGTACGAATTAAATTTAAATTAAGCCAACATTGGTTAATATTTTTTTACTTGGGTCTGCAATTTTGATGCAAATGATACTCAACCCGTATTATGTGTACGGTTTTCATTTATAGGTAAAACACTGATATATCATCATGAGTCATGACTCATGCTATAATTACCTACTTATATACAATCAATTTAATGATAAAGAAAAGAGGTATTATTCGAATATATTATTAGGATATGTTAATATAAAACATTTTTTTTTTTTTGGAAACTTGTTCATCATGTTATTATACTTCATATTACTACATCATGTTCCATAAAAATGTATGTTATACATATAAACTAATGAAAAGTTTAATAATAATTTTGTAATGGTTAAACGAAAATTTATATTTTAGGCCTGATACTAGATGTTTAATCTTTTTAATCCGACAATAAAAATTTTAGCTATTTAAATTTTGACTRTTTATCGATGAAAAACAACACGAGATAGTTGAGAAAAATATCGTTAAATACAGCTTAACATAACCAAAATCTTGAAATATACACTTAAACATTTAAAATGTAAATGCAATCACATATGCGCCATCGATAATATAAGCAATGGAAAATGCTACAACAACAGTTGAAAAATGCAGCTAAATATGATTTTACAGTTACATTGATTGGATTAATAATAGTGCAAAGAAAAAATAAGAACTGTGCGTTTTTTTAAATTTAAAGACCGTAGGAAATATCTATTATTATTCAATAGATTGTTGTATTACAAATATTACAAATTTCTGAGYATTTTTATATCGCATTAAGTGTTGTTAATATTATGTTAGTTTATTCAAAAACTCAAATTTTTCTTATGAACTATTTAAAATAAAATTCTAAAAAGGTGATAAAATATGTACCTAGGTAATAAAAATAAACAAATATTTGCAGTAGGAAGTTGTACATAGAACAACGAAAACGTGCACTTAAGTTTTTTAAAATGTTTAATCTATGCATCGGTTTTATTAGCGTAATCATTCGTATCCAATCGCATTAATTCTATTGGCGTATACTTTCCAAACAAACGAAATGCAAAATATGTATTAAGTCTCGCCCGGACATCGATATATTTTTGTGCCAAAACTCAGAAATCATCCAACGATTCGTATAATATTATGAACCTTCGAATTAATATTTTTTTTTTTTTTTTTTTGTTAACGATGCGGTATTTGTTTCACAGTTATTGTCAATTGGAAACTCGTACGCTCCGGATATTGAATACCAATACACTGTGATGAGAGACGTTTACGTATGGGCATTGACCGACGAATGGGGACAGTGCGATAAGATTTGCTCAGGTATGGATATGGCGGTCGCGTGCAATATCATAGCCTATTGTTTGATTTCCGACAATTAATGTTTTGTTTTGCTATAATCGATTTTGCGTGATTCAGGTGAACAGACGAAGATTTACGTGTGCATCAGAAAAGAAACTGGTGAAGAAGCCCGAGGTTATTGCAGTGAACAAGACGCACCCCGTACGAAAAAGCAACCGTGCAATCTCCACTGTACCATCAAGTACTTGATTGGTTTTTTTTCTTAAATATTTAGTATAAATACAATTGAGTTATAGTAATTTATGCTAGGAGCTGGCATATAAACTTATATGAATAAATACTACCGATGTCATTTATTATTGATTCATTTTTTACGAAAACGCAAATGTACCTATTTCTTACACATTTTGTCTATTATATTATTATTTGCATAGTGTAATCAAATCAGTTTTTAGCGATTTCACATAAATTAATACYTAAATAATTGTATTTGTGTAGATGGAAGACCTTAAGTCAGTCTGAATGTTCTGCTCAGTGTGGCCCAGGTACTCGGACACAGAGCGTTGTGTGCGTTCAGGAGCACGATAAACGATCTTCTTCTCAAATATCGGACAATATGTGTTCTCATTTACCAAAACCTGCCAATACTATTCCTTGTGACGGACAATGTTTAGAATCAAGATGGTCGTTTACAGAATGGACTCCCGTAAGATTTACTTATTTCGTAACACATATAATTTGGTTTTTTGTAATCAGCATCCAGCAGGTTGATCTATTAATTCGCTAATTAAGGTCTTTGTTAATTCTTCATCCTAATCGGTTTTTGGTATATCTTTCAATTCTTTATTAGTGCTATATCTTCTATCAACATTTTTTTTTCAAATGGCCCAAATGGCCTAAATGTAAGCTTTATTTATATAGTGTATTTTTTAAATAGTCCTGATTTTTACAATCGTGCACGTATTATAATATTATTGTCACGTAACTTTTTCTAGACACCAAGTACAAGTCTCAGTCCTCAGCCCATTCGTTATCATWAGAATTTTGTTTTAATTTAATTTGTTAACACACGTTTTTTCAACAATATTTAACGCCCAAATTCTATTTTACATAATAATAAAATATTTTTGAACATGCCTATTATTAATATCTCTAACAAACAAATTTAAGACGATAATAATATATTTTATTGTAATACTCGTATGTATACTAATTAAAATGCACGATTGTTTCCTTCAACGTTTATTTTTATTTATGTTTTGTATTATTTTCTTTGATAACTTCAACAATAACACTATAATAATAATTTTAGATTGAAATGATGTTCATGTACCTAATTATATGTAATTTTATGTCTAGTGTTCTAAGACCTGCGGGTTAGGCGTTCAGCACAGGGAAGCACACTGTGTAAATGACAATGGTGAACCAAGAGACGAAACTTCGTGTAATGACAGCGAGAAAATAATTACCAGAGAGTGTGGGACAGACAAATGTCCCCAGTGGTCTGTCGGAGAATGGTCATCGGTGAGWGTTGATTTAAAATAATTACATTTGTTTTGTTTATACAATGTGTGTTTTTCATATAATTAGTGTTCAGTGACTTGTGGCGAAGGGCAAATCGAGCGTTCCGTATGGTGCCGTACAGAAAACGGTAGGGTGTTAGCTCCAGAATATTGTGGTACAAATATGCCAGCTACCAAAGAAACGTGTACTATGAAACCATGTCCAGCTTGGACAACAGGTCTTTGGTCTCAGGTAAAATATACTTAACTACTAATCTTTTGTAAAATAATAAAAATAGTTAACTTTCGAATRAGTAAAAGTGTAAATGCCCAGCTTAAAAATATAGTTAATCAATATTATTCTCATTTATTTGAAATTGTAAACAAAACATTGAACTTATTTAATTTTGAGTCGGTCAAGAAAAAAAAATAATTACATACATACTGCAAATTGTATATAATTTTTTTTATTTAAACGAYATAAYATACTGTTTCATTTTTAGCTTACATTGACATTTATAATTTTCGAGAACACGTTTAAGTTCATATTTTTAAAAATATACTGCCAAATCAAACGAATTGCTGAAAAGTAAACATTTTATTTAAAGTAAAACTAACATAGAATTTTTTTAGTCCACAATACGTACAAATTACCACTTAGTATTTATATTTTCATTGCCTCATTGGAAAAACATATGTTTTACATTTTTGAAGACAACATTGACTTTCAAGTAAAAAATTGTTTGTTTAAACGTGAATTATTAATATTTATCTTAATGTTTTATAATTATTTTATCAGTGTCGGTAAAATAAGAGTATAATGTTTAAACTTGTCATAAGATAAACGATTTTTTCTGCAAATTAGTCGTATAAAATAAATTATATTGATACTAAATAATAAACATCACGACATAATAAGTTTTTTTTTTCAGTGTTCTGTTACATGTGGCGTTGGGATAGTGAGACGTATGGTGCGATGTAATATAGCAGATGAATCTGCATGTGCGCTGATCGCGAAACCACTCGAAGAAGAAAAATGCACTTTACGCCCATGTCCAGGAGGTGTAGACAATGATATACACGAAAATGAAATTCTGAGTAATAGCGGTATACATGTCACAAACTTCATACAGAGCAACAAGTTCTATACATGGCGAACAGACCACTGGTCAAGTGTAAGTTACCATATACCATATAATGGTGATCCAATCAAATCATATATTGTTTACTATTGTGAAAATTTAACCATCTTGACAACGTTTTAACAATATATATTACAATAATAATGTGTGTATTAAATTATTACGTCCGTGTACATTAATTATTTACYTTTCAGTGTTCGGCGTCGTGTGGTAATGGTTACAGAAGCCGAAACATAGACTGCATAAATACGATCAGCGCCAAGCCAGTTTCGTGGAACCTTTGCAAGTCAAAGAACCAACCGAAACGCGTCGAAGTGTGTATCGCTCCGATGTGCGTAATGTGGCGGGCCGACGAATGGAAAGAATGTTCAGCCGAATGCGGCAAAGTATGTCATAATAATAAATAAACGTTTTTGTGCTCTTATAAAAGCGTGAACCATTATAATGATGTGATTCCGAGTGTTATTTTTTATTTAAACTTGAATCGTTATTCTTAGGGTTTTGAAGAGCGCGAGGTGACTTGTGTGTCATCGGTAAGTGGCAAACTCGTAGACGAAACCCACTGCGTAGTGCACAAAGAAAAACCTGAAGCTCGAAGGTTGTGCGAGAGCCACAAAAGCTGCAAGCCGGTATCAACGTGGAGAACGGGATCGTGGGGAGAAGTAAGCAATTGATAATTATACGTATACGATTGGATATAACGGTTTACAATAATCATACTCAACAAATGTATATACCAACGCTATAATATTCCATAACAATTGTATTTTCTACTTGAAACGTTTGTTTGGACAAGCCCAATAATATTACACAATGCATGGGTTCTAGTGTTCAGAATTGTGCGGAGGTGGCGTAAAAGAAAGGAAAGTGGTATGTCAACCATTTGACGGGACAAGAGAACTATTTGATGAAGAAATGTGCGCGGATCCTAAACCGTTGTCTTCAATTCCATGTAACGAACATCCGTGTAAAAGACAACCGTCATACGTGACGATAGCTTGGAACTTTGGGGAGTGGTCAAAGGTAAAAATCATTTGAATTATTTACGTTCACCKAATCATAATATTTGATTATGATGGTTACTTAAAATTGTTCAATTGTAAACTACATCAAAACAATATTCTAAAATATAAACATATATTTTTTTGTGAAGACACAAAAGTCGGCTTCTTTATTTATTTCTAAATCAATTTTAAACTTTATGCAATAAACTTAATTAATAAAATTCAAATACAGATAGATTTTTTTTAAAGAAAAGACTTGAGTTAGGTCATGCACAAAGCTGAGGKTTATACTATATAAAATTCATATTTTTCAATGATCATTTAAACCAAAGCTAAATGCTAAGTGATATTGGTATAGATATAATATGCTTCATAAAATCCAAAAACTAACGTATAATAAACAATTTTATTTTTCATTAATAGGTGCATGTTATTTATAACACCACGTATTGCATATTATTGTATTTTTAAATATTATGTCATTTTAAATTATTTAAAACATAGAAAAATCGCACAATGTATGTTTGATTTTAAATAATATACTATGATACCTGTTATCACAGTATACTGTTGGTTCATAAGTTTATTGTAAAAATAATCATTTACCAATAATTTTTCGTACACAGTGTAAAATTTAGTCACGATCACACAATTTTTCTATTATAATTTTTATCAATTTCTTGCACATGACTACTAAAGTGTATAATTTGCATATTTATTCATATATTTTTAAAKAATATTTAAGTAATTTTGTATAATTTAAGTTTTATTAAGGTGCTACGTCAATAACTTAGAACGTATTGATCAAATTATTATTTTATAATTATTTTCCAAGAGATTCAAAATAATTTTGAAAATATAGTAATTATAATATTCCTAGGCTGTTATAATAATAAGAAAAAAACATAAAAARTAATTGGAAGACAGAATATGACACGTTCATAAAAAGTGATAAATATTGTAGTTGACATAATATTATCTTTACTAGGTATTTTTTTATTCTCTATTAATAATTAATAAATCAAATTACGTGCTCAAATGTAGTTTACCTATAATTGTAAGCTATAGCATATACGCATATATTATATTTACTATATATTATATACMTATTTTCAATTGTTTTTAGTCAATATTTTACAGTTCAATAAATTATTTTAATATTAACTTGCAAATTTTATATATTTATCATAGTATAATCATAAGCAAACAATATTATAAAAACATAACGTATTGAATGGTTTACCTTACTCTATACCCTTGTCTATGTTATGTTCCAAGTGTGTTAAAAAAATAAAACTTATTTCAATTAATTTCTAACAATAAAAACAATTCTTCAATGTTATCAAAAATAAAACAATAAAACTATAAATATATTTGTTTGAATTGTATAAATTTTACATCATTAAAATAACTAGTTTTTGAAATAGGAAAATTTAACATAGTATATCATAATGTTGGATTTCTATCTCATTTATTATATCCACTTATATCTATATGTTTCCAGTTGAAATTGATCCAGAAGTTCCATTGTAAAACCATCATACATTCTTGTAACTTATTTCATTGGAGGAAGGGGGTTGATAAAAATAATAAACCAAGTCATAAACAGCAAACAATTTTAAATGCAGTTGAACAAACTTTGTATCATAAATTAAAAAGTAAATTGAAAATGAATTTTTATATAGTTGACATCGCGTTAATTGTGTCATCAAGACAATGACTACCCAGATAATTAAAGTATGTCCACGTATCCATCACTGTAGTTGTCCGAACTACTTATAAAAATAAACTAAAGGTATTGTGGTAAATAAAATTTCACACAGAYAAAAGGTAGTCCTAATAAGGAGTATAATCATTTCTGGAAGGCGTATCATCACGTATCCTTCATCAGAAAAAATAGGCATTTTATTATGAATTTGCTGTTTGGTATACTATAATTTTTTCCAATTCGATGCCTATGGAAATATAGATGAACAAAATTATATTAATGTTAAATCGAATGAGTAGAGTTTGCGTAAGGTTGCGTTTGCTCACAGACCAATTTAAAGTAAACMCACTGTAGGTAAACACGAACCCCGTAATAAAATTAATCAAATATGAATTCGTAAAATCTACTTAAAAAACAGTTGCGGGTATTACTAGTGTCCAGTTGAAAAATTTGCYGTCTATACATATATGGAAACAGCGGGACCTAACGAAACAAAATAATTTACATAGATAATATATTAATGTGTTATAGTATATCATTACTACTTTGTATAGTAGCTAATAATACTAGACGTTGAGTCTGTCTCTAGGTTTCAATTATAATTAGGTAGAAAAAATATGATTAAGATCTCAAACTAAATAATATAAACTATGTATTGTGGACCGGATTTTCTAACGACATAAATCATATATTATAATTAATTCAGTAATACAATTATCTTAGGATATTTAAAATGTTGATACAATGAATGAATGAATGAATATAATTTATACTATATAGGTATCACAGTTGTCAGCAGGTACCTTCAAAAGTGGTTTATGTTTTTCCCTTTTTGATGCGCTAACTTGTGTTTTAATAAGGAGCATAATAATCTCTAGAAAATTGAAAGCAAAAMGTCAGTTACATAATATATAATATATATTTATTGAAAAAAATCACAATTATAATTTTAGGTTACTACAATATAAAATAGGTGATAATAAATTGTATAGAGTTACGTTTTGACCAGAAAATATAAAAATAATCTGTTAATAAAAATTATATTTCTCAAATCTTAGTGAGAATTCGTTACAATTTATTCTAATTTATATTAACGGCAAAAGTTAAAAAAATCTAATCGTTTCTGCCAAATTAAGCTCACTTTGCCGGAATATAGTTAATACAAAAAAAAGGTGTGGGCCTCGTTATCGTATTCGTAATGAACGTGGGACTTAACCAACTACATATTATAATAAATGAATTATTAATCATAAAATTGGTGACACGTTGTCGCATTACAGCTCATATCGCCATTATTCGGGAAGGTCGAATTGCACTTATTTTTGTCGAATAGCAATCTGGATAAAAAAAAAAGGTAATGTTCGAGTAAATTGCAATGGATTTCATAATAGGAAATGTTTGAATTGTATTTGTTCCAATAATTAGAATGTAAAACCTATTGATTGGCAAATATCAGTTGGAAGAATATTTTGTACTGATTATGGGTATCTAAAATGTATTATTTTATTTTATAAAACAACAATAGTTTAAAAACAGTGATATAAAATTGAGCTATTTATAGTTGAAAATAATATAGCTACATTTTAAATATTACATTGAAAGTTGTACTTATAAAAATTACTCAGTAAAAATATGTTCGTCATGATTATTTTTAAGTTAGTTGTTTCTTGTAATTAACGTCAACGTTTCAACGTGCAATTCGAACATTTTTGTTTAGGCGCAAGTATTATGTAGTGCAGTTTGACAATCTCCCATTATTCTAACACCTACGTGATTTTTTTTTTCCAAATTTAATATCTACCATGCAATTAACGTTTGTGTACCTGTTTGTTTGTTTGCACGCCTGTACAGTGCAACGTCACGTGTGGCAAGGGACACCAACATCGGCAGGTGCAGTGCCAGAACAACGACGGCGCCATACTGGCGGCTGTGCAGTGTGATGGACTGGAGAAACCAGCGACCGTGCAACCGTGCCGTACGTTCGTGCCGTGTGCCAAACCGACGACTTCGGCCACCGCCACGACA